AGAGCCAGAATGGCTTTAACTCATATTGGTCCGGGGTCAACGCCCTTCAGGCTCTCAACGAACCATCTGGATAGGGCAGGGGGATCCTCTTCAAAACTTTACTTCTACAAAGACAAGACACACTTTCATCTGCTCTAATCTAGAAAGGCATTAACTCATATGAATTAAAAACAAGGTTAAAACCCTACTGGCTCTCTACAAATCCTTTGATCGGGGCAGAAGGGAGGGGGGGGGGGGTCCTATTCAAACCCAACTTCTACAGAAAAGGGACAAAAATTTCACCTGCTGAGAGCCAGAAGGGTATTAACTCATATCACATTACAGAAGGTTATAGACCTTCTGGCTCTGAACATAGAATTTGGGCTCTGATTCTCTGATAATGCTGAAGAGAAGTTTGTAATGCTTACTAGGCCTTTACAGGGCTAGAAGGGCACTATCAAACATGATATAAACCTGGATTAATGCCTTCCTGGCTCTAAAACAATTTAAGTTCCACTACTCTGTTCTCACATCCAAAAAGGCCTTAAATTCATATAAAATTCACAATCACAATTCATAAGGCTGCGAATGCCCTTTCGGATGCTGGCTTCAGATTAAACGCACTAATTGTGGGGGATGCGCACGAACAAATACTCAACAGTGATGAGACAGCTGCTTGAGTGTTAATCCCTAGAGCTATTTGGAGGGGTTTTAATCTTTATAATTATCACTAGGCAGAAGAGTATTGATTCAGCTATCTTATTGCAGATTTGAGGAAAAGAGGGGAATTAACTTTAAGATTCTTGGCTCATGATGCACATCACTTGTTCCATTACCCAAAACTTTGAAAAGGAGAGAACTTTACTGCTTTAGAAAGCTAAAAGAAAGTAAGAACTAATACTCTGAATTTGGGATTGTACATTTCTACATGACCAGATAGTTTTCTCTTTGCATGGACAAATTATGTCTTTTTTCATTAAGAATAACAAAGTCAGTTATCCTTTGTTCACCTTCTCCCCTTTTCAGCATCACTTCTAAAATTTGTGAGATCTCTGTATGATATTTTTATAACCATGGTAATGACTCAAAGGGACTTGTTTGAATACTTATTTCTGGATTGAATTTGTAATAGGTCAAAGAGATAAACTGGGGCAGTGCTTTGTAAACTAAGAAATTTCAAAAGGGGTTTTTAAAAGAAGAATTTTGAATGTAATTCTAGCTAAACAGGGAGCAAACATACATTTCAGAATAATGAAAGTTATTGAAAACCACAGCTTTATGCATCTGGAAAGTCTAAATAAGATACACTTGCAATCATTGAAGTAACAAGAGAAACCTACGTCTCCCTTAAGTGCCTTATAAATAAATAAAATATGCCCTGTTGGAAAAGGCAATATGCAAAAGGCTGTTGCAATGGGACCATTTGCACTATTATTCATTTTTGAGGAGAGCCAAGAGAAATCTCCAAATTTGACAAAGATTTCCACAATTTCCAATGTGACGCACTGATTTTTCTTGTCTGATTTTGCCGATTGCAGAGAACTCTACCTACAGCTCTGTCATATACATGTACCTGCCAGGCCATCTTCAACCTTCTCAGTGAGTCAGTATCCACAAGGTCAAAGGTCTAAGGTCATAAGTCACAACACTAGTGACTCATCCTTATGTTGCTTCAACAAATAATGATTCTGAACACTCCGCTGCATGAAAGCTACCCGTCAAAAGACACCAAACAGCAGTCATGTGGCGTAAGGAGGATGTATCGCCCAGCCCTTGTTATGTTTGACAAAGACGTTTTCTTTCTGCGGCCCACTTGGAGACACTTAGCGTCGGTTTAGCCATTGACTGCGGTGTACTTGAGAAGCATTAGCACCCTAAGACAGTGATTCCCAAGATAGTCATTGCCTTATTAGTGAGCAAACAGAGACGGCCATCGCCCGTCATCTGGTTATAAATGGAGTGACGATCAGCCGTTCCGTCTCTTTCCATGTGACACATTGATGCCAGCTATTTACTTTGAGGTAACTCATGTTGGAAAGTGTCAATATTTGCATTTTCTGGAAACAGACAAGATTAATTACGGCTCTCTTCATATCATGGATTTGAGGGGCAGTCTATGAGAAAGCAAGTACAGTCAAACCTGCTTTAGTGACCACCTGTCTAAAAAGACCACATTTTTTGTTTCCCTTGAAAATGGTTTCTCATTGAAACACGTACTAAAGGAACCTGTTTACAAAGACCACCTTTCTACAAAAACCACTTTTTGTGTTTTCCTTTGGCCGTCGCTATAGACAGGTTTGACTGTATATTGAGATTCAAGTCATTAACTTGTGCGTATATATATATATATGAGGATACATTGGTTTATAATGCTTATTCCATGGTATAATAACATATCTTTTTCATTTTTTTGAAAGCACCAGCCTACTTCAAGTTATAATACAACACTGCCCAACAAGGCCTTTGAGAAGTGCCACCTACATCCAATGGCACAATCACTTTAAGTACTATAATAACTCACTTACACAGTCTATACTCATCAGTTATTATATACCTCACTTAAGAAATCCAGCCATCTGATTGGTCGAATTGCATTCATAAACTTCAACTGTTCCTGTAAAATTCTCGGTAACCATGCATAAAACATTTCAATATTTTTAATAACCATGGTTATTAAAAACAGTTGGTCAGCCTCCATGGTTACCCCATAGGTTTACATGTTAAAAAATGGTTTGAGCGATGGAGGATGCCGTATGTGTGCGAAGGATTGGTCGGTAATTTCAATACAATTGAATCTCGATCGATCTTACCGACAATTTTATCTTGCATTGTTGACATGAAGACGAAAATAAACTTCCAAAAACAAAAAAACAACATCTGCCGATAGATCTTGATCTAAGTTCGTGCCAATATGCATTGCAAAAGTAAAAGAAGAGTCCGTATATGGAGCTTTTGCGAAGCATTCATCACACGCGAAGCCGGTTTCAATCCATTTTAATGTATATATTGGAGAAAACTGCCAAGCATGTTAACGGCGGGCCATAGCCGAGTGGTCTAAGCGTTGGTTTTCGGTACACCTCTTGTTATACGCAAGGGTTCGAATCCCGTCTTCGACAAACTGATAAATATTTTTAATTTTTCATTTTTTAGTCTTTTTTTTTTGGCATATAAAAGTATTAATGACTGCTTTAATATTCGAGAAATAGTTGTTTTCATACGCTCTCGGGAAGGTTACAATTGGGCTATTCTAACCTTCCCTTGAGCGTAATAAAACAACTATTTCTCTCAAAGCAGTCATTAATACTATAATATTACATTACACCCTGTAACAGAAAATGAGTTATGAATTTACATTGTTGTAACCATTCTGTAATAGCCCATGCAAATTCATAATGTACTGGCAAAGCTACTGAATATTACTACCACCTTTCTGATACAAAACTGACATCTATACTAGGCCACAAATAATATCCATGCAAGCACTGTCCATGAGGAAAAAAAAAGTTGAATTATCTCTACAGTCCCAAAGCATCAAACTAAAGTTGTACTTCTATGCGTTCTGATGACTACCGGTATGCAAGATGACAACACTTACCCGTTTTTCAGTAAAGGACTGCACATAACACAGGGACACAACAAGAAGTACAATAGAATGGTCATTTAGCAATATCTACAACAATAAATCACTAGCACTGCATTTTTTGATTGAGATATTTTTCCACCTTTAGAGAAAATTCACAAACAATTACATGTAGCTCACAACGAATATTGATTTTTCATAAATACATATACTGTACTGACAGCCACACACTTATCCTTTTCTATAAATTTATGCTTTTAGTAGGACTTTGAAAGATGGATGTGCACAATGCAGAACAGTAGGTATACAGAGTTGTATTTTATTTAAAAGCATGTCTTAGGAGTTAGAATGTATTAATAGAAAAAGGTTGAAATTTCTACAGATTGTAAAAATGCTTCAAGCACATTTTTGATACAATTTTGCCATTTGCCTAATATGTCTTGGAAAGCAATGTTTATCCAATTCTCATGAAAGATTTAGGAAAAATGCTGCAAAAGAGAGAAGCACATCAATATTCTATTGAGGGAGAAATTTATACAAACATGAATAAAGATGAGAAAGTGTATTATCACAGGTAATTCTGTATGTATTTTTAACCTCAATTTTAGTCCGAAGAATATAAGCCCAGCAAAAAGTCAATTATACAAATAGGATTTGACTGAAGAGAAATGTTTTGAATGGTGGCCTTAATGGGAAATTGTTGACTGAGTTTGAGGTGAATGAGGGATTCATATAAAGCTATTGGAAGAGAGAAAAGGTGAAGTTGAGAGGGAAAGAGAGAGGGTGAGAAATAGAGAGTATTAGAGAAAGAGAAAGCGAAAGATTAGAAGAGAGAAAGAGACAAAGAGAGGGGAAGGATGAAAACAGTGTCAATAGAAAAGGTACGATTCCTCAGTGACACCTTTGCGTATTTAACGTTTATTCCTATTTCTTGATATCACAAACTGAATTCTTGATATCAAGAAATGATTTTCTGTTGTGAAGCAATGGTAATTCTTGATATCAAGAATTTAATTTCTTGATATCAAGATATTTATGGCAAGCCGTTTTAACATTTAATCATTTCTTGATATCAAGAAATAGAAATAAATGTTAAAACGGCTTGCCATAAATACGCAATACCCAAACCAAATACGCAAAGGTGTGACTGAGGAATAAGAGCACGACATCTAGACAAAGCAGTGAAAGAAAGAGAGACAAAGCAGTGAAAGAAAGAGAGACAAAGATTGGTGAGATGTCAAAAAGGGAATAGGAAGGGAAGAATAAAGGAAGAAAGACAAGTAGCAACCCATTTAACATTAATTCTAAAAAAACGTTTACAGCTAAAAAGAAAAAGTTTTCAAAACAAGCTTTCAGACATAATAACAAAGGACAGCCTTGGTAACACCTCTAAATTGAGGACCCAACATGTGCCTTCCAACCGCATCCCCAAAGCACTTACCGTGACCTGCGCCTGACATCATCGGACTTCTCCGACGTGGAGGAGTAGACCCTGGTCCTCCTGGTGGTGTACTGTGAGGAGTCCACACTGCTGAGACTACTCAGGCGACTGCTACGGTTAGAGGAGTACTGGGAGTACCTGGGCACGTACCCATCCCCGTCACTATCACTGTCGTCGCTATCGCTACCAGGTGTGCCGCTAGGAGGAGACAAGAAGGGATGGATCAGAATAATACAGCAGCATAACCTACCGTCCTGAGGGGTGTTTTACAAAGACTAAGATCGACTTTAAGTTGGACTTAAATATGGCAGGCGATTCATGCCACTGGTTGCTCTCACCATTGGTCTCTCAATTATGATCTTTAGATCATATTTTTTCCTTCAATAATGAATTATCAAAAAATGTAAATTTGGTAGATTTGTGACCATGATTTGTACGTCCCTTGAGAGACCAATTCCAGTAAATGGTGGGAGAAAATTGTGGCATTAATGGCCTGCAATAGTCAAGTCCAACTTAAGGTCGATCTTAGTCTTTGTGAAACACCCCCCAGAACATATAATTTATTATAACATGAAGGTTGTGAACAGTTCATGTGCCACGTGTAAATCATGAACTCGCATGAAGTATAGCTTTCCTATCCCATCAAAGGACGATATGTTTTAGATTAAAAAGCATCTTTTCTCACAGATGGAGCCATCTCTTTCTCTGTACCATCAGCACAAGTTAATCAGGAAGAAGAGTCTCCAGCTAGAAACAGTAATTACTTGACAAATTTTTACCTCTTTGAAAATAATTACAATTATTGTTTCAGTATGACAATGTTGAGGGTAACAGACTGAAATGATCAATTCATATTGGTGTGATCTTCACATTCAAGTTGAAAATGTAAAAATGTTTGAGCAAAAATCAGCTTCAATATGTACAGGCAGCAATGCAATTTCTAGTCATCAATTCCCTTTGACAAAAATAGTACACATCGATGCCACAAGAACTTGTACGTTGTCTTTGAAACTGTCCAAACATTCCCACCAGGGTTATGAGAAACACATCCAATCGTTAGTTCAATGAACATTCTGTTGTCTGAACAAAACATAGTTCACATGCTTACCTATCACTATCACTGCCTATCCCATCCTCTACGGCCCTCTGAAGATCTGCTATCCTCTTGAAGGCCAGTTTGAGATCAGACTGGACCTGATCATGGCTCGATTGTACACTCTCCACTTCAAGCTCCTACGCAACAAAGAAACAAAAGAAAGTATGGTACATTTAAAGAAAGAGAAATGATCACCAGTCAATATGCAACATCTGCTACAATGAGTGGCAATGTCAGTCAATTGATATCTACTAAGAGTCAGAATGCGGATAGTTCTTGTACTTTACACAAGGTCAATGACCTTCTGTAATAATTCTTCACATACTGATAGACAGGTACCTGTAGTAGTACAGTTTGAATATATTTCACATCAATTAAAAAAAAAACTATGATGGTATGAGTTTAATTCTTAATTCCTATGAATCCAGAAGAACTTCTGTGAGATCTGTCCCATGATAATTTTTAGATATTTAGCAGCAAAAGATTGAAAAATTGTAGGGGTGGAAATCGCTTATCTTGGAAGATGGAACCTTTGTGAATCATAACCACTGTAGCAAAACTTGCCAAAGTTTCTGGGTTAGCAAGTAAGTATGAGATGTGAAGGAGAAAGTTGCAGGTACGTACAAGATAATCACAAGAAAACTATATATATATATATATATATATATATATATATATATATATATATATATGTTCTACGAGAATGTTGACAGAAATGACTCTCCTTGAACCAAGAGGGTAGGTAGCCTATGAGTTTGATGTCCTTGGGCTTGGGAAACCAAGCTGTACCCAGAGGCGTCTTGTCACTCAAACCAGCAGAGAACGAAAGCAAGAGATATGACCGTATGACATGCATACATGAGCAGAATTTCCCCTGAGCATGGTGTATGCCAGTCTTCATTATCCGCAATGAATGCTCAAACATCAATCAAGTACCAAGGACGTCTCCAGAATGAGGTTGACGAGATGAACCGTAAGAACAGTTTCTCTCAAGAGTCTTCAAATGTTATACATTGATGCATATACAATGGATGTTATTACCAAGGAAAGTGAGAGAACTGTGGCAGCTGAAGGGCACATGAGAAAGAGATTCAAACTGTGATGCTATTTATGTGCACTGAAATTCATATGTATAATACTATCTCTCTTTTTCCTTAAATAGAGCAAGCCAGTCTCGTCTCGTGGTTTCAAAGACTTCCTTCAGCCTTCTTCTTCTCCTCCTTCTCCTCCTCCTCCCCCTTCCTCCTCCTTATTTATTTATTTTTCTCTTGAGGGGGGGGGGGGGGGGGGGTTATAGACTAGGGGGCTGAGACCCTAGACTTAGCGCTAGCTTAGTGCATGTGATAACAAGTTTCCTATTGGTTTTGGTCTTGAGAACGCAAATCTTGACTACGATGCTACTCTTTCAATAGTGTCATAATGTAAATGAGTAGATTATTATATCACTGTGCTTACATTGAAATATAAGAGAAAGTTAAACAAAATTTAATAGAAACTGGATTTATGGGGCAGTATGTAATAAAAAAAAATCTTAAGTACATACGTTGTACACACTTTTGTATTGTATACAGGCTGGCAAGATATTTTGTTGCCACCCATTTTGGTATAGAAACTCATCAAGAACGAAGAATGTAAAAGACCTTGCACTACATTTTCAAGGTCTTAACGAAACTTCTTCTAAAAAATCTGTAATCAGAGCAGTAAAAAGCAATAGCAATAAGAAGGAAAAAAATAATGGGTAGGCATATGATATTCAAGGACAGTTCTTAGAAAGGAATCTTAGAAGCCAACCAAACTAATGGACCATGTTCGCATTTCCTATTCTTTCTCCAAAAGTCAAAGTTTTTCATCAAAGTTTTAATTATGATTCTTTCTTATATCTTTTTCAAGACATCTGACTGATAAATAGGCCTTCAATACCTACAGTTCTTATTTCCTATTTTGCTCATCCTCCACAGCTTTCTAACTTGAACCAACAAAAATCTTCTGCCTGATGCAAATCAGCATATAAATGATCTACTCTCTGTTTGATGCCTGGTGCTTGGACAAGAAGACATCATATGACTGTGAGAAGATCAGCGAATAAAATATTCATTAGTACCTTCTACAAATCTATTCTCATCTACTAAGTGGAGATTTTGAGTCCTTAAATATAGAACAAAATCCAGAAAATCTTAGAATTTAGTATTTCTGATAGGCAGTTGGGTACCTGGCAAAGAAAAACCATATTTAAGCTCAAGATATTTAATACTCGTTACCAAATCTGAATTATTCCAATTCAGTATATTTCTATAAAACAATGAAGAAGAGTAAGAAAAGGAATTTGAGAAATTAGTAGGAGTAGCACCTCGGGCTGGGGTTTTCCCCTACTTGAATTCCGGGGCTTTGAATCCAGGGAGAGGATTAATTAAGGTATTAATGCCAGAATCAGCTCCATCAGAGACACTATGAATGTAGTATAGTGCCAAGGGAAATTGCATTTGATGGAAGGAGCGAGTTACCATGCGACTCGTAACCTTAAAGCGACTCGGTAACATTTCTCAGATTCTGAAACAAAATCCTGGATTTAGCTCATGCTGCAATGATAATTATAAACCTTTAAGTCAGTTGGGAACCCCGTGACTTTTACAAGCCGATCGCCTGTCTGATTATCAAGATATTCATGATTGCAAATCAAAATCAAATTTCAGTTTTTATAACACTACAGTCTATTGGGGAAAATGACTATGGTTAAACCGGTCACTCAAAGATTTTTTTTACTTTTTTGAGGCACTTTATGATCATTTTGAAGCTCCATTTTTTAAGGGCTTCAATGTTACACCATATTACAGACACTGATAACAGGTAGGGCCATACATCTCAGACTTAACATTGTTAAATGATACCTGTAAGAAGAAAAGATATGGTTTACCTACAGTACATGTGAACAGGTGAGGGGGGGGGGGTCCATTCTGACATCAATTTACTTGAATAAATTGACATTTTAAGAATGATCTGATTCAGGATAAGGAATTTGAAGAAATTCAAGATCAAAACACACATCAGTTTTTCTCCATTCCTGTACATCAATTTTTTTCTTAATTTCATGGGTTAACATTAATTCAATTCCAATGCAAGGATTTGTCAGAAATAAAGAATAAAGAACAAACAAACCTTCTATCACCTAAATGCGATTTTACTATTATGTTTTTCATCCCCTCCCTCCATCTAAACATTCTAATGGATTAAATTCTGGGGTTCCAATTGTTTTAGGCTTCAAAATCAGGCGCATCTTGATCATAAATATCTCTATTACAAAGCATACAAGTCACCAAAACAAAAAAATCAATCGTTCATATTCATTTCTACAAGCAAAGTGATTAACAATCAAGTAATGGGTTTTCAGGTTTGGATTTCGATGGAGGCAAATATTGATCATCTATGAAAATCTTGAGGCTGCTCAATATCCAATTAATATTTGCTGTCTGGTCTACGTAAGATTCATTGTCGATGAACGCAGGAGATAAGGGAATATTTTTTTCACCACCCGCTTCAATCCTTGACATTTTCAAGTATTCAGAGCACATGAATTGATATAAAACCACTACATCAGCGCAGAGGCGGGAAATCAAATATGTATCCATCTGCATGACATGAACATGTTATCTGCTAAGAACAAGAACAAGGATTTTTATTTTTAAGGGGGGGGGGGGGATTGGGTTAGGAGCATTTACATATTTTACAGTTTTATTCGCCTTTTGTTCTTTTGTTACATAATGCTACTTCTCTTTCACTGGGTCTGGGCTCTTAATTAAAACAAATCTTTGCTACTTGATTCTATTCATTCAAATTTGAATATCTTCCGACCAAATTTTCATGGCAAACATACATTTTTAGGCCCCAAAAGGGGTTATATGTTGAAAATTAGACGATGTTAAATTTATAGTAGCACAGGATTGACATTGGGCAGAATGTTACTCAAGTTTGGCATAGGATGCCTCCAAAAAGGCAATGAACAGGACCTAATATGTCTGAGGCCCCTTTATAGAACCTTCCATCTCCGCTTCTCCGTCCCAATCATGGATGTGTTCTTGAACTTTAGAGATCAAGGATGTACCTCTAGAAGATCATGAGGCCAGGCCCTGTAATAATAGGAATGGCCTCCTTTATGTATAGGACATTGATGGGGTGTGATGGTAAATTTCCACCTGTGAGGCAAAATCGAGGTAACTCTAGGTATGTCTTCATCAGCTTGAGATTGCCAAATAGCCCGCTATTTCTGATTTGGGAAATAAGCCTGAACTTACAAATTGCGTCGTCATCAGCTTGAGCTCGAATTAGCTCAAGATATTTTGCTCAGCGTTCACGCATAGTGCGAGTCTTCAGGCTGGTGAAGATGCACTGGGCAAATAGCCCAAGATATCTTGGGATGATTACATGTATCTTGACCAAATATCTTGCTAATTGCAACTGAGGGCTGATGAAGGCGCAAATTAGCTCGATAATTTGTCATCGGGAAAGTTAAAATAGCGGGTTATTTGGCAATCTCGAGCTGATGAGGACAGGCCTTGTTTCTAGGATAAAATAGTTTCTAGGAGAGCGTTTGTTTCTAGGATATAGTGAGATACAGGGCAATTCCACGGTAACGGAAGGACACTCAGACAAGATTTTTGAACTTCAGGTTCATACTAAAAGAAATGTTTTATTAGTATGTATTAAACTATGGGGAACAAAATGTGTTTCAGTCAAGTGGAAAGCTTCATCAACTTCACAAAGTTTGGATAAACACTAATTAACTGGAAAAACCATGTCCATTTTATGTCCTTCCGTTACCGAGATAATTAATATGCACATTCTTAAACTACTTAACTATAATGACAATTTTTCGGGGGAGAATTAAAGGCACTTATATAGGTATTATATCTGTACTGTTTCACATCTTATACTAATAAAACAGTTCTTTTAGTATGAGCCTGAAGTTCAAAAATCTTGTCTGAGTGTCCTTCCGTTACCGTGGAATTGCCCTACAGTGAAGGACAATATGAAAGAAAAGAAGTGTTGTGGTATAGTGGTTTATTCACATGACATTGAGTCTGAGGGTCGAGGGTTCTATTCCCTGAAAGGAACTAGGGTTTCTTTGGCAAGACATTTCATCTAC